CCAGCAACTTTGTTTTTGTTCCTGATTTACAGCATCCGCAGTTCTTTTGGTTTTTATTTTGTCCTGAAATGTTGTTTGTCTTTTTGATTTTGGTGGTGAATTCCCTTGAAATGTCTTTTTCTCTGGTGCGGACCTTTAATCAAAAACATTGTTTCTGTGGGTTTCTAGCAAAGTTATTGCGAAGTGAAGAAACAACCCTGAGACTTCACCATCTGATTTTTGGGGGAAGCAAATGCAATAGGAACATCCAAAATAAGTTGAATATGTACTTAAAAAAATGAAAAGTTGCAGGGCTATGGGGAAAGAGCAGGACTGGGAGAAACTAACTGGCTTAACACTTTTAAAGAGCTACCTTAAGCATTCATTGACTGATGACCTCCCTTCTGTGCTTTATGTTCCGCTGATAAATGTCATTCTCCCAAGATTTGAGTATACGAGTTGGGATGTCATGTTGAGGTTGTAAAGAATGTTGGTGTGGTCTCTTCTGGAGTACTGTGTGCAGTTCTGGTTGCCCTGCTATGGGAAGAGTATTATTAAGCCAGAGAGAGTTCAGAAAACATTTACCAGGATATTGCTGGAAATGGAGAGTTTGAGTTGTAAGGAAAAGCTGTATAGGCTGAGACTTTTTTCACTGGAGCATAGGAGGTTGAGGGGTGACCTTAGTGAAGTTTATAAAATCATGAGGGGCAAAGATAAGGTGGATTTCCCTAAGATGGGGAGTTCAAAACTAGGAGGCATATTTTTAAGGTCAGAAGAGAAAGATTTAAAAAGGAGATGACAGACAACATTTTTATACAGAGAGTAGTTAATGTGCAGAATGAACTGGCAGAGGAAGTGGTGGATGCAATTACAGTTATAACTTTTAAGAGGTCAAAAATCACAGGACACCAGGTTTTAGTCCAACAGGTATATTTGAAAACACTAGCTTTTTGAATGTTGCTCTTTCCTCAGGTGTAGTGAGAGAGGAGATATCAAGACACAGAATTTATAATTAAAGTATCAAAGGATCAGACAACTGATGGGAATGTATTGAATAAACCTAAAATGGCTGGCGGATTCCCTCCTGTTAAATCTTTAATCAGTTAGAAAGGAGATGCAGGTTTTGATTGATTAAAATCCAAATCCCAGAATTACTTTCAAGTCACTGCCCCGAGATAACTAAAGGTCTTAACAGTGTATACAAGAGGTGACATGTCAGGTCAGAGAATGCATTTTAGGTGTGAGGTCTTGTTTAGAATCTGCCTGTGTTTTAACCTGGAGTCAGACTGGTTTTATTTCCAAAGCAGGAATTTATAAAATGCCCCATTGGATGTGTCTACAAATTGTGTGCTTTTTGAACAAAATAAACTATACCTCAAATACAAATCTGCAAATGCAAATTCACCGCATAGATTTATATGTATCTGTGTGCATGTGTGTGTGTGTACGCACGTGCCCGTGCGCATGTGTGTGTGTGCAGCATGTGAGTGTGTATGTGTGTATGAGAGAGAGTATGTGTCTGTGTGTGAGAGTGTATGCGGGTGCATCTGTGTGTGTTTGAGTGAGAGTGTGTGTGAGTGTGAGGGAAAAATGTGTGTGAGAGACTGTGCATGTGAGTGTGTGTGTGTGTGTGTGTGTGTGTGTGTGCGCGCGTGTGAGAGAGGGTCTGTGTGACTGTGTGTGTATGAGTGCGTGTGTATGAGTGTGCGTGTGAGAGTGTATGGTGTGGTGGGGTCACCTATAGTGTGACATGAATCTTAGATCCTGATTGAGGCCGTCCTCATGGGGACTGAACTTAGCTATCGGCCTCTGCTTGGTGACTCTACGTTGTTGTGTATCCCAAAGTCTGCCTTGGAGGACGTTTACCTGAAGATCTGAGGCCAAATGCTGAGGTTGATAGCCAGTTTCCATAGCAGCACACAACATCAAAGCATTTTATAAATTCCTGCTTTGGAAATAAAACCAGTCTGACTCCGGATTAAAACACAGGCAGATTCTAAACAGGGCCTCACACCTAAAATGCATTCTCTGACATGAGATGTCACCTCTTGTATATGCTGTTAAGACCTTTAGTTATCTCAGGGCAGTGACTTGAAAGTAATTCTGGGATTTGAATTTTAATCAATCAAAACCTGCATCTCCTTTCAAACTGATTAAAGATTTAACAGGAGAGAGTCCGCCAGCCATTTTAGGTTTATTCAATACATTCCCATCAGTTGTATGATCCTTTGATCCTTTACTTACAAATTCTGTGTCTTGGTACCTCCTCTCTCACTACACCTGAGGGTGGAGCAATGCTCCAAAAGCTAGTGTTTTCAAATAAACCTGTTGGACTATAACCTGGTGTCCTGTGATTTTTGAGCTTCTCCAACCCGGTCCAACACAGGCACCTCCACATCACAATTTTTAAAACACATTTGGATATGTATATGAATTGGAAATGTTTGGAGGGATATGGGTGAAATGCAGGCAAGTGGGCCTAGTTTAGTTTGGGAGCATGGTCAGCACAGTCTAGTTGGACAGAAGGGTCTGTTTCCAAGCTGTATGACTCTTTGACTGTGTACTCTTTTCTGATACCATCCCTTTTAGATGTTTATAAAAATGGTGCAATGCAGCTTTGCTTCTCCTATGTAAATTGTATGAGAATAAAGTGCATAGTATTTGAACAAGGAAGACACAGTCTGAAGAAATCACACTTCTGCTTTATATGCAAATATGACTGATTACGAAGCAACATGGTATTGATTGTAACATGTCATAACTGTTCTGCAGTCAAGGCAAATCTTTGGAGTGTAGAAGTTATACCCTACCTTGTGATGGAAAACCAAATGTGTCAGGATAATCTATTTAGCAAAATAAAAACAATTCACAATAGCAAAAAATGATATCACTCCCAATGTTAAAATTGGAAAAATTTCAGCAAGATGTGGAAGGTGATGTGTGTTGCATGGAAACTGGCAATGTTCTGAGTATGTGCTATGGGTAATGCTTTGACCTCAGATAATGTCTTGTGATAATGTTACATGAGGATCCTGATTGGCCAGAAAAACCATCATGACGTCCAATGTCTCATTTGTAATAATTAATAGTCATATTACATGGAATGGATTCAACCAGTGTCTCTGCTTTTAAGAACTTACAGTTTAGAGCTGTAGAGAGGCATGGAGACACTTGCTAAGCATTCAGCATTTTTGGAGTGCCTGCTGGTATCAGTTAAGTTCCCAGTGGTGGTACGATATCCATACAATGTCAGGTTGAGAGTTGTCTCACAAGGCAATTGTGCAATTTCAATGGGCATGTGTATTCTGAAATGTAAACAACAAATTGTTTAGTTCCAACCAGAAAATGGTTCTTTGTTTTTCCAGATATGGGGAACACAGGCAGGACGCACATTTATTAACCAAAATCAGCAGTCCTTGAGAAGGTGATGGTGAGCAGCAACCTTAAAATTCTACAGCCCATCAGGTGAAGATTGTCTCTCAGTGCTGTTAGATATTGACTATTACATTATTGTTTTGCTCAAATGAGTCAATTGATGGATATTGTTCAAAGTCTTGAGTGTTCTCCCTGGCAAGCAGTGGGATTTGTAGACTGTGCTTTATCTCTTATCAATTTGAAAAATAAAACCTTTAAAATGCAGTTATTCTTAATAGAAAGGGTGGCATGGTGCTTCAGTGGTAAACACTGCTGCCTCACGGCGCCAGGCACCCAGGTTTGATTCCATCCCTTGGCACCTGTCTGTGAGGAGTTTGCACATTCTCCCTGTGCCTGCATGGGTTTCCTTAGGGTGTTCTGGTTTTCTCCCACAGTCCAAAAATGTGCAGATTAGGTGGATTGGCCATGCTAAATTGCCCAGACTATCCAGGGATGTATAGGTTAGGTAGATTAGCCATGGGGTATGCAGGGTTGTGAGGATAGGGTAGGGGGATTGGTCTGGGCGGGATGTGCTTTGCAGGATTGCAGGACTTGATGGGCCAAATGGCCTGCTTCCACACTGTAGGGATTCTATGAAAGACGCTCTGAAGTATAATTTGTGATAAAATTCCAATTGTTGATATCAAGACTGCTTGACTAGAATTTACAACATAATGTACAAACTGCAGTTTCCATCCACCACAGCGTCCGACTCTCGAGAACTAATGTTCAGATATCTATTTCTCCACATCAGGGCACAACATAAAAACATTTTTGTGTGGATTAAATTGTTTATTCTGAAGATTCTGTTGCATATTGTTGCACGTCTTAATGTTTAATTGCGATCAGAACCAAAACACAATTCAGAAGCTTCTAATAATGAATCCCACCTGGCTCTTGTAAGCTTGTTATGATTTCCATGTTGTACCTACCTCTGATTCCACCTAGCCAGAACGAAAAGGGGAGATCTTGTGATGGAAATTTCTTCTGTCTTCACCCGTTGACACAGCTCCTTGCCTCCGTACATTAATGAGCAAGACACAAATAAGTTCTCATAGCTACAACAAGAGAAATAAAGATAAAGTCAATTTGGGCATTCCTGATTTGGCAACATCACAGTTCAGCTATAACTCAAAGACTGGTTAAATTAATGATAAAAAGTATTCAGACCACCACAGGTTCATTAACATTGAACTGAAAGGAATTACGCTAGAATGATAATATTGAAAATTGTGCAAGGATAATTGGCAGGCATTTTAATTTAACCAAAGATAATTGTTAACAATGGAATTCCATATATGGATTGAAAATAATGGGAGGTCTGTTCATAGTCTGCCAGTCTCTGAATGTAAATAAATGAAAGCAGGAAGGAAGAGGTAGTGTCCTCTGACTTAATTTTAACTCTTTGAATTAACTTTTCCTCAAACAATGAATATGACAGACTAAGAAATCTAACTGGATATTGCAATCATAATGAATTGGTAAGCTACTTAAAGTATGCCATTTTGAAGTTGCTAAGTTGGGGCTGTTCAAAAACTGCAATGCATGAGAAAATATGTAAGTTCCTTTTTTAGTGGTTGCTATATAGAAAACATGACATGTAGGTGGCACGGTGGCTCAGTGGTTAGCACTGCTGCCTCACAGTATCAGGGACCTGGGTTTGATTCCAGCCTTGGCTGACTGCCTGCCTACTCTCTTTACTCAGAGAGTAGTAAGGACGTGGAATGCCCTGCCTGCAAAAATAGTAGACTCGCCCACTTTAAGGGCATTTAAATGGTCATTGGATAAACATATGGATGATAATGGAATAGTTTAGGTTAGATGGGCTTCAGATTGATTTCACAGGTCGGCGCAACATCGAGGACCGAAGGGCCTGTACTGCGCTGTAATGTTCTATGTTCTATGTTCTATGCGTGGAGTTTGCACATTCTCCCTGTGTCTGTGTGAGTTTCCTCCCAAAGATGTACAAGTTAGATGGATTGGCCATACTAAATTGCCCATAGTGTGCAGGCTAGGTGGATTAGCCATGGGAAATGTAGGGGTAGAGGGATGGGTCTGAGTGGGATGTTGTGGACTCAATGGGCCAAATGGCCTACATCCATGCTGTGGGATTCAATGAACACAGCAAATTCTTGCAATCAACAATATGACTGTTACCAGAAAATCTGTTTTTTTTAGATGTTGGATGAGAGATACATATTGGCCAGGAAAATTCTACTGCACTCCTTCAAAGAATGCCATGTCCAACAGAGAAAGTAGACAAGTTTAAAGTCTCATCTGAAACTCAGCACCTCAAATAATACAGCTCTCTCTCAGTAAAGCATTGTAAAATCAACCTGGGAGTAGATGGTCAAGCTTCTGGGCTGGGTCTTAAACTAATAACCTTCCACCTCAAAGATGAGAGTACAATTCACTGAGTGAAGGTTGAAACTATGGATTATTTCAGGAAGAAAGATAATTCAGCTCACCTTACAGTCCAGGCACTGGGGATTCCATGCACAGCATAAATGTTGAAGTTCAAAGGTGTGGTGCTTAGGTGTGCCTTTACTGCAGATACAGTTTCGATGGCACCAACATGGGCAACTTGATAATCAGTGTTAAAGTTGTCACAGTAGATGTTTACAAGCTGTGAGACTGCAGCAGTTAATTCATTGACTGCTCTCACTAGTGAACCTAGAATGTAGAAGAAGCTTTAAAAAATGTTCTGAGGAGGTGGGCAATAACAGCATTTACTGCGTGTTTCTAGTTGTCCTGATTTGATACAGTGGAATGGTTTGCTAAGACATTTCTGAAGGCAACCATGGTTAGCATGTGATTGGAGTTACGTATGGCTAGATCCATAAGGAAAACAAATTTGCTTTTGTGAAGGCTGCTTACAAACTAGCTGGATTTTTATGATAATCTGACACATTTTACTAATCTGAATTCAAATTTATGAACTTCTACAGTGTGAATGTTAGATAACTCACTTCTGCATTACTAGCCTAGTAGCATGAACACATGCTACAACACATAAAGTACACCAATAGTCTGAAGTGGTCAATAATATCAGTGACTGGTGGAAAGTAATCAGAAGAAATTTTGTTTATTTACTTGAAATCTGAATTATATCTTATTATATTTTCTTATCATTGTACTGGCAGAGTGGCCCCTACATGTTACAAGAACCCAAGCTTTCACAAATATCATTTCTTAAAGACAAGGCAACTGGAACTGGACATTTGCCATTCCAAAATATTGCAATGCCTTTTTTTTTGAAGCTCTGTCAAATTTCTGCCCATTGCTGAACTTGATCATCCTCCCCATTCTTGTTGATCTGGAAAGACTGTTCATATCCCATCAATGTCTTTTCCTAAAGTTCCTTTGTTCCACTATATCTATGTTCAATTCCTCTGCATCTGACCTTTAGCCTATTCCATCCCTCTTTCTGTAATTTGAAAAGAGATCCTTTAACTAGCTGGGTCCTACATTCTATACCACCCCACCACTCCTTAAATATCTTCCCTCCCCTCTCTATCGCTAAGCTTAATTATCAAAGTGTCCAGTGACCAAGCTTTCCATTGCCTCTGTTCATCCCTTTACTGTCTCAGCGTGTGTTTACCCTGTGCAGAATTGTGATGCACCTTTTGAAGATCTTTAATTACAGGCACTAAATAAATGCACGTTCATATTGTCATCGTTGGTGTTACTTCCAAGTGTGAAAGAACACTCCCCGCCCCCCACAGAAGTAGCATTGATGTGAAGTGAAATCCATTTGATAATCTCCCATATGGCCCTCTGCTTTCCCTCCCAGAATGGCTGTAAATATATAGTCAGTTTGTTGTTTTCTCTAATAGATTTGGACAGGTTAATGCTCTGCATGCAGTACACAGACAAAAGCTTAGTTTCCAAAATATTAATTTATCCAGTCAGGTTGCTGATCGATTTCTTGTTTGAGGTATGCTTCATACTACAGTATTGTCATTTTTTATTTCGCTGATGGTATCAGTTGGTTCAACGTGGACTGCTCTAAACAGTAACATTCTAATTGCAGCTGTGCTGTTACTGAGAAGTGCCAAGCACACTGAGTGAAGTAGAAGACACATTGTCCTCACAGCAGTTATGGATGATTGACTGAGGAAGCTTGGTATGACACTCACACCCACCACTCAATTAGCTGAGGAATAGTGCCAAATAAAGATAGCATTTTAGAAAAAAGAATGACAAAATATCAATTATCATTCACCAATCCCAGTTCCAGTAGTAGGCATGGTATGACCTAGCAACTTAGAGGTTATGCGTTCAAGTGCTGGTATGGCAACTTCAGAGGTTGGTTTAGCTCAGTTAAGGTTGGTTTACAAAGCAGTAATCCGCAGACCGTCTGAGGTTACCATAAAGGACTCTCTTTCTCAATCTCTCCCCTCGCCTGAGGTTTGGTGGCCCTCAGGTTAAATTACCACCAGTCATCTCTCTCTAATGAGACAACAGCCCTATGATCTGGTAAGACAATGGCAGCTTCCATTCCAAATGGAATTCAATAAACTTGGTGAATTCTGAGCTATAATTGATCAACATTGACTGTTTTGTAAAAACCCAACTGGTCTGTTATATGTCCTGTAGGGAAGGAACATGCCACCCTTTGTGACTATGGGCTCACGTTACACAGTCCTGAAAGCAATAAGGTTTGATCAGTAGATGCTGTCTTGGTGGTGTCATTCAGAGATGAAAACGAATTAAGAAAACCTGGCAATTAAACCACTTTAGCGTGCTCAGCATAAACAAGCATGCATGAGTACATAAAATATTACATTTTTACCTTGTTGGTTCTGCAGTTGAACTGTATGAACTGAAGTCTGAAAGTGGAAAAGACATGATATCTAATCAGTTACTGAAAAAAATTCTCAATCTAAATTCAGATCTTTAGGAGTTTCCACTACTAATGAAGATACATTAATTCAAACAGATGTTGGAGGTTATGTTTGGTTACATGTGCATTGGTATGCTTAACTGACCTGACTATCAACATTTTAAAAAGAATTTATTCGCTGTTTACATCAACTTTAAAATGATCAGAATAATGTTGTGCAACTGAGTTTATTGCACTGTGCATAAACAATAAACTGAATGCATGAAGGGTATCCAGTATGTGTAATAAAAGCTCCAGAGATTTTAAAAAAATCAGCTGTACAACTGAACTGGAGAATATAGATTGTGAAACAAGACTGATACTTATCATTGAGACCAATAATACTTTTGTTGGGGAAGGTCAGAAATCACACGACACCAGGTTATAGTCCAAAAGGTTTATTTCTGAGGAAGTGTCACCAGACCTGAAATGTTAACTCTGATTTTTTTCTTCACAGATGCTGCCAAACCTGCTGAGCTTTTCCACCAACTTCTGTTTTTAAAACTAAGATGCTGTTAAATATCAGTTAGAAGGTTTTAATTGATTAATATGTATATGTAAATCCCCAAATTCCTTTCGAGTCACAGCCCTGAGAGAACTAAAGGTTTTATCAGTGTAAAGAAGAGGTGACATTTCAGGTCAGACAATGCATGTTAGGTGTGAGACCTTGTTTAGCATCTGTTTGTGTTTTAGTTTGGAGTCAGACTGGTCTTATTTCTAAAGTAGGAATTTGTAAAACGTCATGTTGACTGACTGTCTGTAAATTGTGTGCTTTTTGAACAAAATAAAATGTATCTGCAAATACAAATTCACCCCATAGATTCACGAGTGTGTATGTGTGTATTGTGAGTACGTGCGTGCATGTGTGTGTGTGTGAGAGAGAGGGAGGGGGAGAGAGAGTGTGTGTGAATGAGTGATGAGGAGGAACAAGACAGACACCTGAAGGTGTTGAAGGATGTCCTCATAGTAACAGGATACGATCCTCAACTCATCGATCGCCAGTTACAATGTGCCACAGCGAAAAACCGTAATGACCTTCTCAGAAGACAGACACGGGATATGTCCGATAGGATACCCTTTGTCATCCAGTACTTCCTGGGAGCAGAGAAACTAAGCCATGTTCTTCATAGCCTTCAACACATTATCGATGACAATGAGCATCTTGTCAAGATCTTCCTCACGCTTCCACTTCTCACCTTCAAACACCGCCAAACCTTAAACAGACCATTGTTCGCAGCAAACTACCCAGCCTTCAGGGCAACATTGACCACAACATTATACAACCCTATCATGGTAACCTCTGCAAAACATGTCAGATCTTCGACATGGGCACTACCACCACAAGTGGGAACACCACCCACCACGTGCACGGCAGATACTCATGTGACTTGGCCAATGTTGTATACCTCATACACTGCAGGCAAGGATGCCCCAAGGCATGGTATATTGGTGAGACCATGCAGACGCTACAATAACGGATGAATGGATGACGTACAACAATCGCCAAACGGGAATGTTCCCTCCCAGTGGGGGAAGACTTCAGTGGGTCAAGAACATTTGGCCTCGGATCTTCGGGTAAACATCCTCCAAGGCAGACTTCGGGATACACAACAACGCAGAGTCGCCGAGCAGAGGCTGAGAGCCAAGTTCAGTCCCCATGAGGATGGCCTCAACCGGGATCTTGGGTTCGTATCTCTCACACACACACACACGCACACACACACAAAGATGTGAATCTATGGGGTGAATTTGTATTTGCAGATACATTTTATTTTGTTCAAAAAGCACACAATTTATAGTCAATATGGTGCTTTACAAATTCCTACTTTAGAAATAAAACCAGTCTGACTCCAAACTAAAACACTAATAGATTCTAAACAAGGTCACACACCTAACATGCATGGTCTAACATAAAATGTCACCTCTTCTTTACACTGATAAAACCTTTAGTTCTCTAGGGACCATGACTTGAAAGGAATCTGGGGATTTACATATACATATTAATCAATTAAAACCTTCTAACTGATTAAAGATTTAGCAGCATCTTAGGTCTGTTCAGTACATCCTCATCAATGGTGTGAACCCCTGATCTTTTACTTATAAATTCTGTGTCTGATACTACCACTCTCACTAACATCTGAGACTCCGAAAGCTTGTGTTTTCAAATAAACCTGTAGGACTATAACCTGGTGTCATGTGATTTCTGACCTTGTCCACCCCAGTCCAACACCGGCACCTCCACATCTGTTGGGGAAGAGGATGAGTTAGGATTTTCCCATTTCTGATTGTCTAAACAAGCCTCCCAGAGGAGAATGTAGATTCGTTCACCAGAGGAGGAGACAAGAAGATATATTTGTCATTCCCATCCAGTTTTTCTTGTAGGTGCCAAATTCATTTAGCCTCAGACAAAGATGTATGCAGGAATTGGTGCAGCAAGGTCTTGTGATTTATGGAAGTAGTCTTTATCAAAGTTGGCATTTAACCCAACATCGGCATAATTGTCAATCTGGTGGCACTTAGTTTCCTTGGGCAGAATTACATAACATGATTCAAGAATAACCCAGGGCACAAAGCTAAGATGGAGAAGTACATGTAAACTTTGGTCACATGCAAATTTAGAGCTTATCACGAACATTAGAATGTCCTGTCCAGGAATTCATAGTTAAATACTCCTCTTGTGGGGGGGAGCGCCATATTGTATGAAGAAGATATACAATATTATAACCTTTATTGGGAACATATGAACTTATGAATTGGGAACAGGAGTAGGCCAGTCAGTCCCTCAAATCTGCTCCACCATGGTGAACTGATTTTTAACGCAGCTCTATACTCTTGCCAGACCTTGATAACCTTTCACCCCATTGCTTTTCAAGAATCTATCTACCTCTGTCTTAATAATATTGAAACATTCTGCCTCCTTTATTTTGAGGAAGAGGCTTTCAAAGACTCCTGGGTCTCTGAAAGAAAAAAAACTTTTCTCCTCTTTATTTATGACATGTTAGTTTTAAACGGTCAGCTCAAATTCTAGATTCTGCCACAAGAGGAAGCATCTTTTCCACATCCATCCTGTCCACGTTTCCTCAGGAACTTAAATGTTTCAATCAAGTCATCTTTTACTTTTCTAAACTCCACTGGATGCAAATCTAGCCTGACCAGCTTTTCCTCATAAGGCAACATGCCCTTTCCAGGTATTAGTCTGATAAATCCCTCTGTGAACTGCTTGTAATGCTTCAGAGGCATATAATAATATCTTCAACAGATCCCAAGCTATGTCATTAGTGGGTTATCAAACACCACTTAACAGTGAGAGATGTGTAAATAGATGTTTGGAGATGTAATGAAAAACAAATGGATAGACTTAAATGAGTACTTTAAAGGAAGAATGTTAAAAAGGTGCAGATTTAAGCCTCAATTTAACATCACAACCAATAACATATGGACCCATTAGCTCTGTATTATTGCACAATACAAGATGTTGAGGATAGAACTTGACTTCAGAAAGTTTAAAGGCTGAGCCAGGCTTAACCCAGGTTCTGAAAATGTGGCTTAAAATTTTTGTAGATAATTGCATCAATGCCAGGAGATGGATCTAACCTCGACATTGCTTCAGCATCTGTGGCACACATCAACACATCGCTGAAATACACAAGTCAGGAGGGTGGCAAAATGTTTAATTCGACACTCAAACAGATTACACCCCTGTAGAGTTGGGGAAAAGAGGATGATTACTCACATGATGAGCAGACACAAAGTGTTACCAGGTGTCCTCATAACAGGCAACTTGTGATATACAGAGATTTCTGAAGACACTCAGCAGTGTCATGTCAGCCAGGGAATTATGTAACAAAACCCCATGAAAACACATCATCATTTACTGTTCATGTGACACTCTCCTGAATATTCTGTTTCAGTCACAGAGCCTAGTTTAAAGATAAGTTTGCTCCATAACTTTCAAAGGCGTCATGAAAGCTTGCATATTTTTATCTTCATCCCCCCATTTACATCTAAACCCTTCAGCAGTCTAGGCCCTAAACTCTGGAAATCTCTAAATCTGCACCTTCTTAACATTCTCTCCATCTTTAAGGTACTCATTAACATCTATCTATTGCTTTGGTTATCTCTCCCAATCTCTCTATGTTTTTCTCTCACTGTTAAATGTTGTCTGCTACCCAACTTGTGACATACCTTGGGACCTGTTAGTATGCTAGAGGTGCCATACTAATACAAGTCAGCACTGTCCTTGGTATAATACAGTATATATGTAATTACATGAGGGATTAGATTCTTTTCCTAACAATGTTTTCAGATTGTGGGAAAAGATGCTATAATTGAATGTTGTGTCTCTATAATTTGGCGTTCTCCAGCCTAGTAACCAATGTAGTCTGACATCTGCATTATGGTTCCATTTTGGTTCATGTAGGGTCACTGTGCAGGTCACATGGTCATGGAGTACACATTTCCCTTTTTGTGTTCTCAATAGTTTCTGTGAAATGCTTTTCATTCTGCCTGGAATAATTCAGAACTTTCTTGCTGGACCCTTTGCAAAAAAGCTTTATTTTGTTCCTTACAGATCGGTGCAGCAGGCTTTAAAAAACTACTTCAACTTCACCCAGGAGCAAGTGCCTTTGGTGCCATTTAAAAGTTCCCATGCTGACTCTGAAATGTGCCCTCCCGTAGTCCAACAAATTGTCTAATCTGTTGGTCCTGAGCCTACTGGATGATGGAGGTACAACGTGTAGCTCATAGCACATCATGAACTTCCTCCTCAAACACTATAGGAATCTGCAAAGATCATGACCCAATTCTAGATGGATTGCCTGCTGCCTGTTGCAAGGAATCAATGGACAACACGCTAGAGGTGACAGGAAGATGACAAATGCAAAAAAGTCAAATACGAACAGATTGCCCTGGGCCAGACAAATTCAGACATGAATGTCAGAACAGGTT